GCAACTATTTGAAAATTTGAAAGGAACAATTCTCAAGAGTATCATCACATGGTCTGAAATGGGGCAACAAAGTGCCTGCTACTCATGTTAAAGTGTCATCGGCATTTTGTGGAGCATGTGACCAAAAGAAGCAGAGGCTCTGTGGACGAGAATGACATCACCCTGTTTGGAAGAGTCGACCCATTTTTCACAGTTACTTATTTTTACATAACGTTTTCTCGACACTTAGTCTTTTTACCTATCTTGTTCCCAGAGTCTCCATTCCCCTTGACTAACGGTCGGAAAACGAGAGCTCTGGGAGCAACCATTTCAGGTATGTGCCATAGATGCAGACTGACAGTGAAACCGGATAGGCGGAATCACCAGAATTCGGTTATTTCAAAATGGTTGCTCGCAGAGCTCTCGTTTTCCGACCACTGGTCAAGGGGAACGAAGACTCTGGGAGCGAGATTGTCTTTTTACCAGTGTGCAGTAGGCATGTGTAGATAAAGTTTACTATCAAGGCTACAAACTCCTGTTACTGAGTTTCAATTTGTTTTAGTTTTTTTGCTCGTGATCATGAGCGTACGAGCTGTGGGAGCGAGGGGGGTGCATAGCCAGAAATTATGTAATTTCCGGCCAAACTCTCGTGATTCGGGCACTGACACTTGAGAGTGATTCCCAAATCCCGTAAATAGAGTTTCTAGTAACTTTGTGAATCTCTGTGTGATAGACGCCCGACCAGCAGTCTGTAGGCAGTTAAGTGGTTCTTCAGAGTTGGTACTTTAAGTAGTATCCCGTGAAGTGTATCATTTGTATCTGCTGCGGATCTGAAATATCGTTGGCGCACCGGAGAAGCCACAGTACACTCATTATATATAACATTTCATTACAGGTCGTTTTGTACATGAAGCCAATGTTCTCAATCTAAGTATGGTCAAGGTGCTTCATACCGTTAGAGAGAGAATATTAAAGCCTACAATCTCTGGAAGGCATGAAAGACTGCACGAAAAATTAACGTGTGCTTGTGTAGAAAGACAACTGACTTAAGTTTTTTAACCGAACGTTCAACCGAAAGAGAAACCGGAACTAAATGAACTAGACAAACGTTGTAGTCTCTGATGTTACATTTGACCAATATAACGTCAATGAGAACCTGTCCGTTATTTCAGTACAGAATGAAAACAAAACATCATTAAAGTGGAGGGAAAGAGTTTGAAAAACAAGCAACTCTTGCTTCAACATTGGTTCAGTACAAGTGTGTTGCAGCCCAACTACTCTGAAGAAGCCTCAGAACCAACTTTGGACCCATAGCGGTATAAATCATAGTTCAGTCGAACCTACGGTTGCGACCACCTCTCCTCGGCGACCAGTTTTCCAAAATACCAAAAGTTTCTAAACCAAATCACTATATTTGGAACTACTTGTAAGCGACCACCTCTCGTAAGCGACCGCAACCACTTTTAGGGCTTAAAGTTTGAAATTTTCTTTTGTTTTTAACCTTCCGTAAGCGACCACTTGACTGATAATAGAGCGAAACTTGAGTAATACGGTGGTGTAACATCAGATTACTGGGTTGTACTAAAGACGGAAATTTCTCAATGGGAAGTACTGGATCACTGGATAATTTTTTTGAAATTTACTTTTCACATTAATATAAAAACAATTAAAACATGGGGTAAGTCTCTGCAGTTACCACATGGTAATGAAGCAAAATTTTGACCCAATATGATCTAAGCTCTCGTAAGCGACCACTTAGGCTTGACATTTTAGGTGGTCGCTTATGGGAGGTTCGACCGTATTTTGCGATAGAACGTTTTCAACTAAGCATCGTAAAACCAAAACTGAACCAATTACTTACCAATTAGACTACTTA